AAAAAAAAAAAAAAAAAAAAAAGGTTTTGTACATCTTGTTCTGTGCTCTATTCCCCAGTGCCTACAATAGGAATGGGATGTAGTAGAAGCTTAATAAATATTTGTTCTGTGCCAAATAGCACTTCATTCGGCCCACAAGAGAAGCCCTGTGATTTGTCCATTGTGCAAATTGGAAACTGAGATTCAGAGGGGTATGGGACCCTCCACCAGCACTGGAGCTGAGGCTCCAGGCTCCAACCCAGTGAGTCTCTCCTCTCTGCCTCTCTGTTCTCCATTTCGTGTCCTACCTGGAAAAGAATACAGGTGGTTTCACCCTTCTCTTGTCCCAGGATAGGCAAGACTGACAACCAGTGACTCAGAGCCCAAGGCAGCATTCTCCTCAAAGGACCTGCCCAGGAGCCCACAGGGAGAGAGTCCCCCCCCCCATCTCCCCAGGAAGGCAGGCCCAGCTTTGACCTGACCACTTTTCCCTGGGACCATCTGTTCACCCCCTCCCCCAGTTACCTCCTCTCTCCTTCTTTTCAGCCACCTTGGGCCCCCAAAATACCCTCAGAATAATCTGGGGGCTGCTTATCTTACCTTTATACCCCCAGAGATACAGCAAGATAGAGACAGTGACACAGAAAGAAAGCGTGGTGGGGGAGTGGGGGAGCACAAGCCAGAGATACACATGCAGAGACAGGAGAGAGACAGGAGAAGATGGGAAAGATGAGAAACCCAAAAGAGCAGAGACCTGACAAGTTCCAAAATAATGGCTCCACTCAAACCCGCAGCCCAACCTGGGGCCACTGCCAACCCAATAGGGCCTTTTGAGTGAATTAGAGAGATGCACCCTGGTCGAGTTCCAGAGCCCTCTGGCCTTTGAGCCAAGCACACTGGTACAGGGCCCAAGCCACAGAGCGGTGCAGAGCAGCCCTCCCTTGCCATCTGCCCAAGGAGGGAAGGCAAATTTCAATGACACCGGGTCCTCAGGTTTGACCCGCAGATGCGTCCATACAGTGGTCCCTGGAAGCCTCTCAGACACTTCAGGATCTCTCCCCGTGGGCCATGAGCCTGAACCCAGCTCTCTGCACTTCCTCACTGGCGCTTCCCTAACAGCAGGTCCTTGGGCCATGTCACCCCTGCCTAAACCAGTCCCACCCACAGAAACCAGCCCAGGATTCCCAGGGGCCAGGACAAGGCCCTCATGCCTGTGCCAGTGCACAGACCCCCTTCTTGCTCGCATAGGCCACCTCCTAGCATCATAGACCTTCTTCTCTGTAGTTCATAGGAATTTCGCCCCCGCCCCCGGTGGGTGGGGGCATGACCCTCCCTCAACAGAAAGGGCAAGAGAGAAGCAGAGAGGGGAGCCATCACCTAAGAGTCTCCCATACTAAATCAAGATTCCTGCCGCCTCAATCCCCAGCAGCCATACCCTTGTGGGGGCTGAGAAGGAAATGCTCCCTCCCCAGGAGCACAGGTGACCTATGAGTGGACACTTGGCTCACACAGGCAGCCAAGGAGCCTGAGCTGCCAGTGGGGACCCAGCCTACCCCAACCGAATGTGGGGCTGCCTGTGTACTCCACTGGCTGGCCCTACCCACAGGGCAACGGGGGAGGGCAGGAGCTCTGTCCTGCAGCGCTCTGGGCCCTGGGATTCCCCACTCAAGCCTGGGCATGGCCTGGAACAAAGTCATGGCCTGTTAGGATGGGGGAGGGAGAGGAAATATCCTCTCCATGGGGTCAGTGAGGAGTGCTACATCTGTGCCGGGGGAGATCGAGGGTCCAGGTGGAACCAGGGGACCCCCACAGGCCACTGTCTAAGGCCCCCACCCTTCCCCATAGCCAAGACTCTGGAGGAAATAATTAGGGCATAGGTGAGTCATAGGGTCACAAGGCTGCTTCCTGGCTGACTCAGGCAGGGGCAGTCAGATGGGCTTTTCCATCAGGATCTTCCCCAGCCCAGAGCCTGAGTCAAGGATTCCAGGTGAGCAACACCTCCTGGTATCCAAACTGGGCTTCGCCCTCCCTGATGCTGGATCCCTGAAAAGCCAGGTATGAGGGTGTGCCCTTCCATGGCCGGTAAGGGCACAGGATCGTGCACCCCCAACTCAAGCCTATCCTTGCTTCTGGGATTTAGAGTTGGGTCTTCTAGATGTCGGGACCTCCCTCTGACCAGGATCCCCAGAGGCACCTGGCAGTGAGCATGGCATAGAGGGGCCATGACCAGGGGCAGCAGGTTGAGGCCCTGACCCCCACCCCTGTAGCAGGGGCCCTCAGCATCATCCCAGGGCCTCCTACCTGTCCCCCAGCCAGCCCTCCAAGCAGGTCCCTGTGGCCCCAGGGCCGCTTTCCTGGCTTTGTCCCTGTGCTGGTTGGGCAGGAAGTTCCTGCTGGAGAATTCCCGGATCCTCCCCATGAGGCCACAAGCCTGGCCTGGGAACTTAGGAGGGAGGGAAGTCAGGGATGCTCCTACCAACAGGGTCTGGTCTTGTGGGAGCAGGGGCTCTCCTGGCATTCTGGGCCACCAGTCCTTCCCCACCCCCAGGGCAGATGCACCAATCCTCTTGCCCTCCAGCTCAGATGCCCCACTGGGGCCCCTCCACTGGAACCCAGGACTCTGCAGTTGGGACTGCCACACTGGGGACTAGACTGAGACCCTGGATAGCCTTGAGCTTGTGAGCTTGCTCCTAGCTTGAGGATGGGGGGGGGGGGGGGGGGGGGGGAGGGTTCCACACATAGCCAAGGAAGCCAAAAAGTCAAAGTGGGTTTTATTACTATCACAGGCCTGAGTCTGATGGGTAGGAACATTCTGCTGGGCAGGCCCACCCTGCAGACACATGGATTCCATTTATATCAAGACCCCTTGGCCCCAGGGGCTCCTTGGATGTGCCCTCAGAAGAGGGAGGCTAAAGCTCTATTCGGGTTGAAGGGATCTGGGATCAGGGCAGACTCAGGGCCAGCACCAGCTTCACTCTGGAGGCCAGTTTCCCATCTCGTCCATCTCCTCCAGGAGCAGGTGCTAGGGGGCAGAAGTGGGTGAAAAAAGGTGCCTCAGCATCTTTGGGCTCTCCCTTCCTGCTCTGTATCCCCAGAACATTCCTTCATATCCCCAGAGATAAGCACCCTGAGGCCATGCCAGGCCCTCTCTCATATTCGCCCAGCTGGCCCCCAGTCCACCAGCCCTGAGCCACCTCCCTCCCACTGAATGAGGGACCCTTCTCCCTCCAACTTGGGGGGGATCCTTGGAAGCCCCAGAAGTCAGGCACCCCAGCGAACCTCTCCCTTCCCTCACCTCTGTCCTGGACACCACACCAAGGGGGACTGCACCCTTCCCTCCAGCCTAGGGTGGTGCTTCAGCTGCCTCAGCGCCCCTCCCCTAGGTCCCCAGCATTCCCCAAAGGCTGGGGGGCGGCTTCCTTCCCCCTCGGCTTGGTGTCCCTGAGGACAGATAAGGAGAGAGTGGGGGATGGTGATGAGGATAGGACCCTTGAAACACCCACAGGAGGAAGATATTCCTGGGGCAGCTCTGTCCCCAAAGTGAGGACTGAGCTGGGACCCAACTTGCCACCACCCAGAAACTCCCTAGGGCCCCCCAATTCTGCTCAGGCTACCCCCTGGACTGTGGCCCCTGGCTCAGGGGTGGTTCTGGAAGGGAGAGGGAGGAGAAGGGGGCCAGAAGGGTGATGAGATCCCTTTAGTGTGAAAAGGCAAAAGCAAGAGCCCCTGTCAGAGCTGACCAGCTGTATACTTTAGGGTGAGGTGCACAGCCTTGTTCCCCACAGCACACAGGGGCTCCTGTAACTCAGGCATGCGGGCTTAGGACAGTGAGAGGGCTGCCCCTCAGTGCCTGGTGGGCATGCGCTTCTGGTATTCATTCCCCCAAGGGGGTAAGTCATATCCCTAACACTGGAGTGCCCTTGGCGGCTGGCAGGCAGCGCCTCTCCATCTTGTCTGATCCTTCCACCAGTGTCCCCTTCCTTACAGGAAGCCAAAGCCTGCATTCAAAGTCACAGAGCAAGTCAGTGCCGGAGCAGGGCTTCAGCTAAAGGCTTTGGCCTCTGAACCTGACTCTCTTTCCTTTACTTTCCCACAAAAGTAAACGACACAGACCGTCAGGGGCCTATGTCCACCGAATGAAAGAACGGGTTGATGAATGAATGAAAATTAATTCAAAAAGGACATGGACACATTTTTTTCACAACAGATTCATCCATGTGTGCTCAAGAGAGTCTGGGACAGGCCTGACCTCGAAGGCCAGGTTTTGGATTCTGTGCCTCCCTCTCTCTCTACCCCTCCCTTGCTTATACTCTTTCTCTTTTCTCTCTCAAAAATAAATAAACATTAAAAAAATTTTTTTTAGTGGGGGCACCTAGGTGGCTCAGTCGGGTTAAGCGTCCAGCTTTGGCTCAGGTCACGGTCTCATGGTTTGTGAGTTCAAGCCCCCTGTCAGACTCTGTGCTGACAGCTCAGACCCCGGAGTGTGCTTTGGATTCTGTGTCTTCCTCTCTCTCTCCGCCCCTCCCTCGCTGGCACTCTGTCTCTCTGTCTGTCTGTCTCTCTCTCAAAAAATGAATAAACATTAAAATTTATTTTTTTAATTTTAATGGATTTTGGGACTCTGGGTCAAGTGAGAGACAGAGAGACTGATGGAGAAGTGTGTGTATGCACAGGGCTTCAAGGTCCTACTCAGAAATACCACCACCAAGAAGGGATTGTGCCTTCCCTACCCAGACAGTGGGAGGCTGGAGCCAGGGCCAGGAGCCGATGGAGGTAGGAGGCCCCGCTCTCTCTAGTGCCTTCATGCAGGGGGTGGTGGTCGGGACAGGCCAGGCCTACCTGGCCATCCACAATGCCTGCCTCCTCCAGGGTGATCTCTGGCTGGGTCAGCAGCTCCCGGCCCTCATGACTGCCCATCTTCCAGAGGCGGGACTCCCGTTGTACTACCAAAAGCTTCTTTAACTCCGACTCCACGAAACCTGAGAGTCAGAGAGATGGGCATGGGACAGGCAGGCGGCTCCGGCTCGCCAGACCTCATCCCAGCCGTGTGCAGTCCCTGGTCACCCCCAGCCCCAGCCCTTACGTTTTCCATTACCTGGAACCAGCCAGATACTACCCGCCCACTTCCCTGACTTTGCCAGCAAACTCACTTGCCAAGCGCTCCCTCCCACCTGCATGAGTGTGAGTTTATTCCCCTCCTGGGGAGAGCGTGCAAGGGGCAGACATATGCCTCCACTCTCCACCAGCCACAGACTCAAGAGCAAGGATCTGGAACTACCCAAACTGCCTAGGTTCAAATCCCAGCTCTGCCACCTACTACTGTGTGACCTTGGACAAGTTACTTAACCTCTCTGTGTCTCAGTTTCCTCACGACAAAGTAGAGATTATAATAGGACCTACCTCAGAGTTGCGAAGCAGTATTTCACGAAAAGTATTCAGAAGGGCGTCTGGCCCATAGTAATGGCTATGTGAATGTCAACAATGATCATGTGATGTTATCATGTCATATCGCTACCACTGAGTCATCTGCTCACAATGTCTGGGTAGTGCTGGGGCACCGTCAACAGCAGGGTGTGATGGGAAAATCAGGGATGGAGATGCCCACTGAACAAGTTAGAATTCTGGGTTGGGAGTGGGTGATGCTTCTGGAGCGCAAGCCGTAGTCACAATCCCCACCTCACTGCCCCCCCAAACCTTGAGAAAGGAGGACTCTAGCTAGACCTAGCCTGCAGCTCCTGCTGAGCCACCCACTGGTCCCCCTGCAACCCTTTCTCCAGTGGTCATCTTAGGTCCTCTGGTACCACCTGGTGGTAAGAACTGGTATCACACCTATGAGTCAGGGCCAGAGTGGAGCCCCCTTGGCCTGAGGAGGGCAGGTTGGGCGCCACACTTACCCACTGTATCTGTTGACCTAAAAGTCTTATGCAGCGGTGACTGCAGGGTGACAATGCCTGGGACACAGACCTTGAATGAGCTGTCCTCCTCCTCCATTTCCTCTTCCTTGCCTTTCTCATCAGGCAAGCCTTCCTTGAGAGGAAACTGAGGGCATGCCAGGCCACTGAGCAGGTGAGGATGACAGGGACCCAAGTGTGCAGCCCCACCCCCAGATAAAACAAAAAGCAGGAGGGAACCCACCAGGTTAAGAGGGGTCTGCCCAAGCCCCAAATCCTGGGGCCCAGCCAAATGCGAGGAGGAGCCCCAACCAGGCTTCACCCACCCCCCACTGCCCCAGCCTGGTTCTACAGACCTTGGCGACTGCCGATTTCTGAAGCTGCTTGTACAAGGTGAGGAGGCGGCGGTTCCAAGGAGTTGTCCCCACCTTCGAAGAGGCCAGCCTGAGGTCTCCTATGAAGGTGCAGTGTCACTGACAGGCTGACAGGAACAAGGGGCAGCCCAGGCCCAGGCCCAGGCCCAGGCCGAGGAGGGCAAGGGCACTGAGCAGGCTGAAGTGAGGGGGAGGTTCCCTCATTTTCTTTAGCAAACACCTACTATGTGCTCAGCACAGTACCAGGCACTTTGCAAAGGACATTTCATTGACTCCTTGCAACTGCCCTCTGAGATAGATACTGTTATGGTCTCATTCCTTTCAGATGAGGAAACTGAGACACAGAAGCGGGGAGCAACTTGCCACTATCACACGACTTGGCATAGGGGAATGGAATGGACTCCGATCCACGCAGCCTGCCCTCAGCATTCCCTCAGACTATCCTGTGTCCTTCCAGGCCCCACACCCCTGAGGAGTCTGAGGAACAGGATCTATTTCTGGCACTGGCCTGACACCCGTGGCCACCACACTCACCGTCAAGCAGACACTCCTTCTCCTCCTCCTTGGTGAAGGTCTCGGGGCTGACCTCCAGTGGCCCCATGGCCCTCTGCAGGCATCCTTGCTCCAACTCCAAAGCTTGGGCAAAGTGGCCCCTGATCCCAAAGCATAGTCAGATGGGGGTAGCAGGCGGAGCCCAGACATGTGGCAAAGGCTCCCCAAAGTCCCCAAGGGCCCTCCTATAGGCCCTGCTCAGCCCCCTCCACCCTCCTGCCTCCAACAGTTCCCTGCTGGGCCTTTTGGGGTCCTCATCATACAGGGGGCTATCTTCCCTTGAAGGTAGAGTGAGGAGGAAGGTGGGGAGCAGAGGGGGAGGTGGGCCCTTTCCTTACAGGGAGTGGTGCCAGGTCCACGCGGGAGTGGGAATGAGGAGGGAGAGAGTGGGGAGGGAAGGCAGGGTGGAGTGAGGACCAGGAAGCAGCTGGGAAGCCATGGTGGCCTGGCTCACCTTGGCACTCTCTCGTCCCAGTCCCCAGCCTGTCTTTCTATCTTTGGCCTCCACCCACATCCCCTGACTTGTGGGAAGACCCACCCCATCTCTGCCCCCCGCCCAATACTCTCACCCCCAGGCTCCTTCCCATCCTTGATACATCTGTCCCTCCATCAACCCCCGTGCCTTATTCCAGTCCTCTACCCATCTGAAGACCCACATTCCCGGGCCTTCCTCAATTGGGGTCCTCCCATATCCTTGCCCCAGTACCCCCATCCCAGGCTCCCGCCCGCCATCCACAGCCCGGTCCCTCACCTGTCTGAGGTCTCTGTATCCCCGGAGGCCTCCCCTACCGCCTCCTCCTTCTCTTCTTCCGTTTCCTCTTTCCCAGACAGGTTGCCCAGCACCTCCTGGCTTCTCCTGGGCAGGACAGGCTTCACCTCTACACCCTGGGCCCCCACCCTCAGGACTTCCGTGGGGGTAGGGGTCTGGGCCCCTGTGTCCCCCATCCCTAGCCCCAAGGGGTCCTGCCGTGGCAAGGCCACAGACAGCATGTAGGGTAGTGTGGTGGATGGCTTTGGCTCCTTCCTCCCCACCCCTCCATGGCGGTTCATCACCAATGGGGTGGCGGCTTGCTCTCGCAAGGGGCATGTCCGACTCCCTATCGGGGTCTTGTCAGAGCTCTTTGGGCTGCCCTTGTTCCCCACCAGGCTACGGAAAAAGCGGAACATGGAGGAGCGGCCCAAAATTCGGGATTGACGGTTTGGAGCTGGGGCCTCCATCCCGAGAGAGACCCTGACTCGAAGGGTGGGGCCGTCACAGCCACCCCACCAACTGCTTAAGAACAGGAGGAGTTTTCAAATTAAAACTTCCAGTTGGAAACTTCTAAGAGTTCTAGAAGGCAAAGGCCGGGGGTGGCGGGGGGAGGGCAGGGGAGTGATAGGGAGCCTGGGAGGAAGACATGGTAGAGGGGATTCGTTGGGGGCAGAGAGGGCAGGAGGTCG